CATGTTGGACCTCTTTTTAGAGCAGTGGTTCTCAACTTGTGGGTCCCCAGATGTTTTGGCTTTCAACTCCCATAAATTTTAACAGCTGGTAAATTGGCCGTGATTTCTGAGAGTTGTTGGCCAAAACATCTGGGAACCTAAAGGTTGAGAACCATTGTTTTAGAGCCTTGTGCACCAATATCCCAAAGTAGTATCAAACTCCATTAATTGTTCAGATAAATGCACTACTAAAGAGGCTAAAAAGCTCTTTCCTTGCTGTTCTTCTGCTGGCAGGAAAAGGCTTTATATTCATTCAAAAAGGATTTATTTTTTAAAAAAATTAAAGATCTTTAACCAAATACCTTGATGAAAGGGAACGACACTATTTTAATAGTACTACTTTTAAAGAATTATTCTAAATTATTAATTATATATTTTAATTATTATAATGTCATGAAGAGTATCATTCCAGTTTAACGGTGAACCTTTCTATGTTTTAAAACTATGTTTAATTTGTAGGCTGTTTTGAGCCCCAGATAATTGTTAACATTGTTAACAAAAGGACTTAAAATTGAGAAGCAAATGTTGTTGAGGCAATAGTCATTCCCCGTGCTCATTGATAATGCTTCTCAAGTTAGTATTTCCAAATTCCTAAATTCCAAGTTGTTGTTATTCACACAACACCAGTTAAATTGAATAAACAATAGCGTCATTATGTTGGCAATGAAGTGCAAGAAGGATACTTTCCTATATGAGTAGTTCAGAAATTCTGTATTTCTGAAGATTCATTATAGGGTAGAATATTAGAAATGGTGATGAAATTATGCTGTTGAAATTGCTTCTACAAGATAATTAAAGGAATGAACAATCAGACACTATTGTTTTATTAGTATGCAAAGAGATCTTGTATCACCTTAGGGACTATCTGAGAGAATGAAGTTAGTAGCATAAGCTTCCATAGGCATAGTCTACTTCCTTAGATACAGTAGTTATGGAACAACTTGTTTTTATTAGTTGTCGCACATCTTTGAAAATGGAAAACATCAAAAATATGGTAGAATATTACTGTGGAGAACTGTAAAAGGGACAATAAAATCAGTCAGATTCAGCATGGTATCCTTTTATTGCATTCATAATAACGAGCATTAACATAAATGAATATCTCTGATTATTATTCCCTAATCCATATATGCTTGCTTGTTTTATCCTTAATAATAATAAAAAAAACTTTATTTATATACCGCTTTATCTCCCTGGGGGGACTCAGGGCGGTATCCAAGCAACAACATCAAAACATACAGAGTCACAACATGAACAGAAAATAACAGTAACAGCAACATAAGCATGGAATTATCCAACAGCACATAAATATTAAAAGGAAAAGTCCTGCCTGCTCTTCATGTCTATTTGTAAGGGCATGGAAAAGGAATGGGTCAGGACAATGAAAAGGTTGGGTCAAGACTGATACAAATTGAAATAAGATGGGACCAGCATTTGGGTACAGTACTGTAGTAGGTAAACGACAAAAGCGAGGATGGGCTATTTCCAGGGCCCTGTTAAGAGAATGACCAGGGTAATATATAGGGGACAAGATTGTGTCCGGACAGTGTCTGGGCTGAGCTAGCACTGATCACTCTCGAAGATTTGTTGAAACCACCAGGTCTTCAAACTCTTACGAAAAGAGGGGAGGGATGGGGCCTGTCTTATTTCCCTTGGAAGGGCGTTCCAGAGGCGTGGGGCCACCACTGAGAAGGCCCTCTCTTTCGTTCCCACCAACTGTGCTTGTGACGGAGGTGGGAGTGAGAGGAGGGCCTCCCCTGAGGATCTTAGAGTTCACGCCGGTTCATAGATGGAGATGCGATCGCGAAGATAGGTGGGGCCCGAACAAGGGGCAATGTATTGTTCCAATTTTAGTATATGTACTGCCAAAGTGTATTAGGGTACAAATCCAACTTGAACCAATTATTTTCATCCAAGTTTTATTTACAGGGTGATTGCATTGACTGCGTAGGACAGCCTACCTTTTCTCACAATTTTCAGTTCACAATTTTTCAGATCCAAATGGTCAACAAGGCACCTTGGGATCCTTTTCCTTCCAATGAAGTGTGTGGTGCTTGCAATGGGTGAGCAACCTATATGAGAACAGACTGCTCATATAGGACCGCTCATGCAGAAGCCAGTAGGAGATCTGATTCAACTATGGATTTCTGCTCCTTCAGTATATATTTCACACACACATGCACACACATTGCCTTGCTATTAACAGTTTTCTCTTTGTCATGTCTGATCAATAAATGTTTTGTGTTACAGCTGTGTCTCTGCTTAACTCATCGTTGTCCTTTCCAGTGCTTCCCATCCTTTCTCACAAGAGGCTAGCGATACCTCCTCTCTTACAGCACTGTTGGCTCCCGTGCTTTGAGATCTGACTGTGCCTTTCAGGTGGAACAAAACCCGTAGTTTGGAACTGTCCTGCATTTTGGCCACTTAGACCAAGCAGATGTGTCCTCCCATTGTGCAATCGTGTGGTGGAGGCTTCTTCTTTGGAGGCTTTTAAACAGAGGCGGGATGGCCATATGTTGGGGTGTGTGTGTGCTTTGAATGCAATTTTCCTGCTTTTTGGCAGGGGGTTGGATTGGATGGCTCAAGAGGTCTCTTCCAACTCTATGATTCTGTGATTCTATGACTGCAGACCATTGGAATTGTTGTTTCTTGACAGTTGCATGACCAATTGCATGTGAGCACCAGGTTGTAAAAGCAGCTGTGGCATGCCATGAGCTAGCACAGATGTGCACAACTGCACCAATAAAGTTTTAAAGGGAATGAAAAAAAAAACTTGGATGATCAGATTTTTCAGCATTTCAAACACAATAGTAATAACAAGCATCTTGTTGCAATTTCCAGACCAATGGGAAGTTTGTAAAATCCTGATAAAACGAATAACATTCCATTCTATGATGAAGAGCTATTGTATGGGGTTCCATCCCATCTCTTAATATATAACAGTGAAAATATGTATGTATGGTCCAGGATGGCTCCTAGATTGCTTGATGGACATCCAGAGAGCTATGTGAATCTCACTGACAATTGATCTGGACCAAACTTGGCAGACATGTCCATAATGACCAACTTAAAGTAATGGCAGGGTGTTGGTGAAGGAATGACAGGTGATGGTGAAAGCTGTAGTCTACCCACATCTCCCACTCATGATGGATCTGGACCAAACATGGCACACAGACCCATAATGGCCAATTTAAAATACTTGTGAGGTTTGGGGCTAGAAGAAGATGGGAATTATAGTCTACCTATATTTGGAAACTGAATGCAACTAGCAGTGAATCTGGACCAAACTTGGTACACACATCCATCATGATCAATTTAAAATACTGGTGGAGGTGATGGGACATGATCAGGGTTGTAGCTGGGGGCGGGGGGGGGGGGGGGTTTAAGGGTTCCTACCCCTCCAAACCTGGTTTACTCATGAATTTTAACTGGTTAACCAATTTATGAGTAAACCAGGTTTTTTTTTTAACCTGACACATTTCAGGGCAGGGTTGAACTTTTAACCCCCCCCCCCCCCCCCCCCCCGGCTACAGCCCTGGACATGATTCAGGATGATGGGAGTTGGATCCCACCCACACCTGAAGAGTATATGATTCCCACCCACAACTGATGATGTGGCTCTCCTCAAAACCAGTCAGCTCATCATACTTGCCACAATGCATCTCTCAACATCATTACCCTTTTGTTAGGCACACTGGGGATGATTGAAGTTACAGCACAAGTAGAAGGCTGAGCCGCCTGACTGTTTAAGAAGACAACAATGAATTGCAGTCCAGTCAGATCCTGAATTGTTGGGAGTTGCATCCGACCACATGTGGGCTTCATAGAAATTCCAGCCAACCAGCCAGAACCAAATGCAAGAGGACAGTAGAGCCACTACAGGGTGTGGCCAGTACCTGAGGGACAGAGAAACTACTGCTTTGTGTTTCAGGATGGTGACAGAACAAATTCCTATCATCATAAGTCTAAAAATAACTTTCACTAATAAATACAATTACAAAATAACTCGGTCAATGCAGAGTACATAAGCTAGGATTATTTATACATTATTCTACTTGAAAAAGAAGCAAAAATTGGGTTCAAGTATGTGAATATGAACATATGATAAAACATGTGTCTTCATTACTTGTCTTTTCCTGCTTTGTTGCAGAGTTGGGCTTCTCACTACATTTGAGCTCATCTTTAAAAGAATCAGTAAAGAAGTTACAAGAAAAATTGGAGCAGTTCATAATAATACATATGCCTAATAATATCAAAAGACTATGATCCAAATCCATTTTACTTTATCCCGGGCCACGAGAAGGGCAGTCAGATCTTGCAATCAGGATTATATTAAGGGGATTATTTCACCTGAAGAGGTGTCTCTGAACTTCAAAGAGTCACTCCCCCATCAATATGTTAAACATCTCTCAAAGCAATTAAGGATAGCAATTTGATGAGAAAGAAAAGTTTTAAAACTTTGCATATTTAAGATATTAATATGAGAAATATACTGCCTGGGAATGATTAGCCTACATGTGGCAAGAATTATACATCAAATTCCAATTAAGGTAGTGTCATAGAAAACAGAAGTCACAAGAAAAAAATTAACAACTGATTTTGCTTTGGCATGGGTATAGATTACTGTATACAGACCACAAGGGCTACCCAGTACAGCTCCTTGCAATGCAGGAACAGCCAAACAAAGCACTCCTGATAGATGGCCCTCCAACCTTTGCTTAAAAACCTCCCGAGAATGGAACTGCACCATACTCTGAGGCAGCATATTCCACTGACAAAAAGTTCTTACAATAGGAAATCCTTTGTAATGTTTAAGTGAAATTGGAATCCATTGCTCTTTGTCATAGTCTCCAGAGCAGGAGAAAATGAGCTTGCCCTCTTCACAATGTGACATCCTTTAAAATATTTAAACACGTCTTTCATGTCCCCTTTGAGACTTATTTTCTCCAAGCTAAACATACCCATCTTCCTAAGCTGTTCTTCATTGGGCTTGGCTTCTAAACCTTTGATCATTTCGACCATCATCATCTGGACACTTTCCAGTTTGAATTATGATGCCCTCGATCTCAACACTATGCTCCTATTGATGCAACACAGAATCACATTGGCTTTTTAAGCTGCTACATCACATTGTGGTCTACTAAAACTCCTAGACCCTTTTCACATCTATAGACAGTCCCCAAGTTATGAACAAGAGAGGTTCTGTAGGTTTGTATGTAAGCCAGATCAGGTAAATTTTTAAGGGTAACTCCAGCCACAGGCCTGTAGCCAGGATTTTGATTCGGGGGGGGGGGGGCTGAGTTTGATTCGGGGGGGGGGGGGGGGGATCTACCCTAGCAAACCTTTTGTATCATTATCGTGATAAAATGTTGAATAGTACTGACTCCTGGACAGAACCCAGTGACACCTATTACTCACTTGTCTCCAGGATGTAGAAGAGCCATTGGTAAGCATTCTTTGAGTTTGGCCAGTTAACCAATTCCCAATCCAACTAACAGTAGCATTATCCAGCCCACATTTTACCAGCTTTTTGAGAATGTCATGGGGAACCTTGTCAAAAACTTTACTGCAATCAAGATATACTACATCCAAAGCATTCCCTTCAATTTATCCAGCTTGTAAGTCTTACCAAAACAAGAGAGGAGATTTGTCTGGCTTGACTTAGTTTTGAGAAACCCATGTTTACTTTTTTGGTACTCCTTTCCACAGATTGTCTCTTTAATGATCTGATCCACAATCTTTCTTTGTATTGATGTCAGGCTGAGTGGGCAGTAATTGTTTGTGCCAAATGGGGACAACATTTACTTTCTTCCAGTTGGCTGGAACTTCTCCTGCTCTCCAGGAATTCTCAAAGATTACTGGTAATTATAGTATTATTGCTTTGTTTTGCTTTAGCCTTTTTAAACTGCCTCAGTTACATGCTATCAAATATTGGGGCTTGTAGTGTGATTGAGGGCCTTAGGGGAGCTCTAAAAGCTCTTTCCCAACTCCAGATCCCAGGATCCCAAAGATGTTGCCATGGCAGTTAAAGTGGACTGTAGCACTATAATTGTGAGAGTCACAGGATTTTGGAAATGTCATTAATACAGAGAGAATCATAGAATCATAGAGTTGGAAGAGACCTCATGGGCCATCCAGTCCAACCCCCTGCCAAGAAGCAGGAAAATTGCATTCAAAGCACCCCTGGCAGATGGCCATCCAGCTTCTGTTTAAAAGTTTTCAAAGAAGGAGCCTCCACCACACTCCGGGACAGAGAGTTCCACTTCTGAATGGCTCTCACAGTCCAGAAGTTCTTCCTAATGTTCAGATGGAATCTCCTTTCTTGTAGTTTGAAGCGGTTTTTACGCATCCTAGTCTCCAGGGCAGCAGAAAACGAGCTTGCTCCCTCTTCTCTATGACTTCCTCTCACATGTTTATGCATGTCTCCTCTCAGCCTTCTCGTCTTCAGGCTAAACATGCCTAGCTCTTTAAGCTGTTGCTCATAGGGCTTGTTCTCCAGACCCTTGATCATTTTAGTTGCCCTCCCCTAGACACATTCCATCTTGTCAATATCTCTCTTCAATTGTGGTGCCCAGAATTGGACACAATATTCCAGGTGTGGTCTGACCAAGGCAGAATAGAGGGGCAGCATGACTTCCCTTGATCTAGACACTGTACTCCTATTGATGCAGGCCAAAATCCTGTTGGCTTTTTTTGCCGCCGCATCACATTGTTGGCTCATGTTTAACTTGTTGTCCACGAGGACTCCAAGATCTTTTTCAGAAGTGCCTCCTAGCCTGGAATACCTAGTTTCCATCCCAGTCTTTTCACTTTGTCTGTGTGAATTATGTAGGCTTATTCCAAAATTGGGAATACTCTTAAATCCAGAATTGTCCACATGGGAGGCCTAGATACCTTTCTTTTCAGATAGTTGGATGTAAACAACTTTTTTCATTGCACTAAATTATTCAAAATACTGTGTATAAAATAGCCATCTGGCTATATCAATAAGATGTGAAACATAAATTAATTTTGTGTTTAGACAGGGTTCTCATTCCCAAGATAACTCATTATGTACTTTATATACAAATGCAGTTATTCCCAAATCCAAAGAAATCCTAAATTCCATGCACTTCCGCTCCCAAGCACTTTGGATAAGCAATACTCAAGGACACTTGGAAGGAGAATATATCCCCACCATTTCCGCACCCTTCGTTTTGCCCCCTTGTATATATTCCATGAGATAAAGCAGCTTTTGACTCTCTCTTTCCCTTTCATCCCTTACCCATAGAATTACTTTATTCACACTGTTTCATGGGTTAAACACCGAGGAGTCTGTACAGTAATATATCTAAATAAATAAATACATTGTGCATAATTGATAAAAATGGAAATATTATAGCCTTTTCATATGTTTTGTAAATTATACCAGCCATGTTTGAAGAGGGAAGTTGGGTTCTGGAGAGGGAGAAAGATGAATGTGTGTGGTTTTTTTCTACAGCGTTGACTAATTTAAAAAAAGGAGTTACCTACTGCAGTGGCAGAAGTGGGCAAAGCTATAATAGGATCAAGGGACCACCTCTGTTTCTGGTGGGTCATGAATCATTGTTTCCTAAGGCAGAGTTGCAAAGCCTGTTCTATTGGTAGAAATATGTATCTCTGGATTCCCTTTGACATTTTTATTATTACAAGATAGTTCCCCTGAAGGGGAATGAATAATGCTGCTGCTGCTTTTGTATATATAAAACCAAATATGGAATCCAGTGGCAATTGTTCTGTTTAATTGTGTTTCCATCAGCACCGAGACACCCACCTTTCTACAATAATGAATTACAGCAAACTCCCAGAGAAAAGCACAGCTAGAAATCAGAAGCATGATGAGGATAGATGCAGTCCATAGTAGAAGCAAGGCAGTTGAGAGTAAAATAAAATAAAATATAGAAATGCTAAAATAATGTCCATTATTTAAGGTTTCCATTTTCAGTCTTTTGGAATAACAGATCATATCTATCAGGATGATCGATAAAAAGCCAGATACTATCTTTTTCACTTCTAATATTCAGCCACCAAATGGAGCAACATGACATTGGGATAGTGTTTCTTTTTGCTTTCAACTTCAGATTGGCATGATGGTCATTTAGACTGGCATCCGATAAATGACCTAAGGCTGTGGAGAAGGGAGGACTTCACCACCATGCTTGGTAGTGATTTCACTATGTCCCACCTTGCAGTTTAAGATCCGAGGAGGCCCTGCTCTCGCTCCCACCAGTGTCACAAATACGTCTGGCAGGGACGAGAGACAGGGCCATCTCACATGTGGCCCCTCGCCTGTAGAACTTGCTTCTCACCAAAGCAAGATCAGCTTCATCTCTCCTATCGTTTAGGAAGAAATTGAAATCATGGTTCTGGGACCAGGCTTTTGGACAACAGACATAGATAGTGTAAGGGATCACGGGTTTAGAGTGCGGGGTCCCTTTTCAAAGAAATCCACAGAGTCCAATTGGTTCATGAAAGACACCATTTAATCAAGCTGATCAACATGAGACGGACAGAAGCACTTCTGTTTGTGCTTTCAAAGACTGCCCGCCTCCTCCTATGTTTCTGCTGACATTTGTACTCAAGTAATAGGTCATGGAAAGTACTCTCTTTCCAGCCCCCTCTTCCTTGACCTTTTGATGGAAAGTACCTTCTAGTACATGCAGATTCTGCACTTAAATCAACAACCTTTGAAGTTAACCACAATACAACATCCTGTATAAGAAAGTACCTTCTTGTACACATCTTATTTCTTAAAAACATTTTCTTCCGTATTGCTCTGTTTCTACAGAGAAATGGTATGTCTCTCTTTTGCTATTAATTTCATTCAAAGCCCCTTACTTAGTATTTGCAAATTTCGCTCAAAGACCCTTTCAATAGCACTTTGGATATGGAATTGGAATGGTGCTACAGCTGTTAATACTGTTTTTAATTGTTTTAATTGTTATTATATTGCTCTGTTATAAGTAGTGGCATCAAATTGCTGCCAAATGTAAGCCATCCTGAGTCCCCCTTCGGGGGTTGAGAAAGAATGGGATAGAAATATTGGAAATAAATAAATAAATAAATAAATAAATAAATAAATGCTCGTGCAGTGACTCCACTCCCTAGACTCATTTGCCTCCCGTGGGGCCTGATATGGTGGCTATGGTTGGCCAAAAAGCATCTAGAAGTGTCTTTCCCTTTGGCCAGAGGCATCATAATGACATAATCTTTCAGGATTTTTGGAAAGGCATGACCTTTTAGAAATTATAACCTTTTGGAAAACCAGAATCTCTATAGCCTTTTGCAGAAAAATGACATTCACAACCATTTGAAAATCATAACCTTTATAAAAGTATGATCTTCCAGAGAAGAGCCAAAACCTTGTTTGAGTAAAATCTTCTCTTTAGTGGTATATAGCCACATATACTTATGCAAGGCAATTTGGCTTTCAGCTGTTAGACTGATAACCCATTTTTCTCTGATCTGTTAGGAACAGCGATTATGCCAATGCGCAAAACATAAAAGTTCTTCAGAGATGTTCCTTTCAGTGCCCCAAAATATCTACTATGCCATAAAACATCTTGATTCTACAGCATATCATGCTCTCAAGAGACAAAAATAAAGTAGACTTTGTTAAAAGTAATATATTTGGTTTACTCGCAACCTTCATGTATTCAGCATACAGGTACACAACTTGTCAATCAGTTACAGATACATTTGAAGTAGTTTTTCTGTGCAGATAACACAGGGTATTTTTCTTATGATCTTAACAGTCCAAAGTCTCATGGTGTCTCATGGAGTCTGAAGTCTAAAATGGAGTCTAAAGTCTAAAATGGAGTCTGAGCTTTGAGTAGTCCCAGATCTGATCATGTGGTTTGCAGCCCCTCCCACAACTTCAAGAAACAAAGTGTAAAGGAATGCTGCATACCAAAACATATATATACAATATAGTAAGGAAATATACAGACGAATTACTACTGGAAGTTTGAAGAAGGTTGCTATTTCCAACAAGG